CCAAGTTCCCTTCCAATTCTGTGATTCTATGGATTTTGGCCTTTCCTTGGCCTGAGTTACATCTGCTGTCAGTAATGTCATGCAATTCCCATTCTGAAGTTACTAGAACCACCTTCTTCCTGGTCCTTTTCTCTTTTCTCTCCTCTCAGCATTCCCACACAACCAACCATGCCTAGTTTCCATGCCACTGTCCCTAGACTGCCAGGGAAGCATAAGAAACTCAGGATGGTCTTGCAGTGTACTGGATGGCATTGGTCCTGAAGCTAAGGACTTGAAGCCAAGAATAACTCCATGAGGTAGTAGAATGCAGGATCATCTCCATTTTTATTACACTTCATTTCTTTGTATCTAAATTCATCTTCAACACACATATTTAAATACTATGATATTGTTGCTTTAGAAATGATAGCCAAGTCTATTTTGTTCATTCAGGTGATGTAGCAAGACAAAGAGCCTACTTAGTTATCCAGCTTTACCAAAGTTCAAATATTGGATGGCAGAGTATTTAAGGTTAAATGGAAGTATGAAGAACTGACTCTGCTAATTTATCAAAAGCATCTCCTGCACCCTCTTGGATGTATTGGCAGTATATTGGCAGTAATCAGGCTGCCTTTTCTGATGTAAGCATGGCATTGGAACCCAGGACTTCTTGTTTTTGATTTGCAATTGGTCAAATGCTGCCTTCCAAGAAACTGCTTCAGGCTTAGTTCTTATGTCAGATGCAGTCCATAGATAGTTGCATTCTTCAGAGTTTTGGCTACCAATGGTGGAAATGGGTAGACTGGACAGGTTTCAAGAGCATGAGTTTGCAGGGAGTGGGAGGTGCTCATGAATATTCATCTCTGAACTTCGGAGTTTGTTAACACAGAGAAGTGCAAGACTGCCAGACAGCCCGAATTATATGGTATTAAAGCCAAAGCGGCCAAAGAAGCTGAAGGACGCTGAAAGCAGGTAAGATTTTTCAGGAGGGGGAAGGAACAGGAAGGGGTCCTGTGTTACATGTTTTATACTGGGAGAAATGATGTTAGGACATGGAAGTAAGGAAGCACTTCCATCTCACTTGCTTACAAAAATGGCATGGGGACAGGCGAAAGGTAATCCAAGATGAAAATAAGCTCCAAAGAGGAAGTATCCATCGATCAGCAGCCATAAGTAAATTGGACCAGGCACTTTAAGTGCCTTAAACATTAGAAGTTAAACCTTAAATGGTCTCCTGATTCTTAAAGGAAGCTAATAAATGGCCCACCGAAAAAAGGTGGCATAATCAGAATGAGCAACACTGCTAAATCTTGAGCAGAAGGAAGAGAGGCCAGGCAGGGACAGCTGCACAGCCGCCCATCCCTTTCTCCTCACTAGATGGCTCAGCACCAAGGGCTGCTTCACTTCTGCATGTCCATCACTCAATGGCTGCAACACCAAGAGCCCTGCTGGTTCAGAGCCGAGGGCCGTCCGATGCACAAATGTTCAACCACGCTGAGCCCAAGAGCCGAATTCAATTTCAGAGACAATCTCAGGGGCAAAATTCTAGTGGTGAGTGGCGCTCAGTCAGAACAAGATGGGTCCAAAGGCAAAGGGGGTGCAGCCAAAATATGAGCATGGAGGAAATGTGTGTATGCAGTTTTAAAATGTGCATTTAGAACACGATTGCAAGTTGGGGAATTTACAGGCTTAAAGAAACCACTTTCCTTTCTGTCCAAGATTATGATGGAGCAAGACTGGATGATCTGCAAACTGATAGAATTTTCTCTTGCATCCCTAGCTTAGCTTTTCTTTTCTGCTGATTTTGTTATTCATCATCTGTTCACAGCATGGGCATCAATTGATTTACATCCTCTGCTTAAAGTAGTCCTTCCCTGGTAATCAGAGGATGGCCAGTTTCTTCGGTTGGTCCCTTTATCAGAATGGAGATGTGGTACTCCTGACGAACAAACAAAGAAGAAGTTCAAATTAACGAGACTAGAAGGACAATATCAAACAATTTGGTACAGGCTAATACTGGCTCTGAAATATGGAAGGATTTCCCTATTGTCCATTTGGTTGCTCTCTGTTTCTCATTTTTCCAGTCATAACTTCCATTTGTTTTGAACTTTGGAAATGTTTGTTTTAAAGTTCCCATGAAATTTCACGTACATTTATGTGCATTTTTGTGTGCATTTTGTGCATCCTTTTGCAGACAGTGCTGGCCAATGTTTTTGCAAGAAATGTTTGCAATGCAATTGTTGAATGTTAGAAACCTAACAAGTTTCTCACTCATCCCTGCTCCATGTATTTCCTCTATAGGAAATGGAAGGTTTCAGAGAGCTGCTCTGCAGTCAGTAAGGAGCACAAAGTGCCTTTGGGAATGCATTCTGTGGCCGTCTCCCATAGACCCGAGTGGGTAAATCTGGGTTGCTTCTGGATGGCAGCCCTGTAGTGCTACTAATGAGAAGCCACTATGTTGCTCTTCCACCCTCCTTTTCTTAATGGATTTTCTGCACTTAAAAAAAAGATGGAAGAAGCTGAATGGAATTCAGGGATGCCCATACCCCATACAGGTTTTGCCTCATTGAGATCTGTATTTCACAAGGTCTACCAACCTGTAATGCAAAGCATGAAAGCAATCCTATTTTGTCACGTGGCTGGTGAGTTTCTTGGGCAAACTGACAAGTATGTGGGGGGGGGGAGGCAGGAAGAGGGGAGGTACTCCCACTGCTTTTGGTGGACTACAACTTCCCAGCTTTGGTGACAACGCATACAACAGCTTTTTAGTAGACCAGAAGAAAAGCAACCAGAAAAATGGAAGAGAAACTTTGGTCCTGCAGGGAAAGTCACAGAAATAAATGTCATCCTTAGATGTCTTCTTCTTTTCACAAATGCCTAGAAGAAGGAAGAGCACTGCATAGCCTGCACTCTTCCTGCCTAACTTGGAGAATTAAAGGTGGGCCTTCCTAACCAAGCTGCCTCTATCAGACTCTTGTGCACGGGAAAAGGAAGCTGTCTTAGATCATCGGGCCATGGCACTCAAACTTGTCTACACCAGCCTTCCCCACCCATTTTTTGATCACAATGACCATACTCTGTCCATTGTTTATGCTCGATGAGGCTAATGGGAATTGCAGTCTAAAACATCCAGGGGGCATTGAAAAAGGGTTATCCACCGTGATTGGCAGCAGCTCTCCAGAGTTTCAGACCAGGAGGGAGGTTTTCCTGTGCCTACTCTGCGATGCCAGGGCTGGACCTAAGACCTTTTGTACGCAAAGCAGGTGCCCTTGATGGCCCATGCATGGAATCCTGTTTCCATTATACAATTGCATCCAGCATCGGTCCTACTTAAAACAGTTCATTACATGAATGGAACTTGTTAGATTAACTTCAGTTCAGTTCACTTGAATGGGTCAACTCAGAGTAGGTCCAACAGTAGATACTGCCAGCAGATTGGGGCTATTAATTTTAAAATCTGAAACACAAAGGTCATTGAAGGGTTGTTGTGTTATGTAACTTATTCAGAACTGAAGTCACTGTTTTATGGAAAATGGTATGACTCTTACCATATCAGATAGGACTGCCATTTTATAGCAAGAGTGACCCCTTCCCTCATTTTTCATTGAACCAATGAAGAATTAGATTCATCCAGACATTGTTTGAAACCTGATGTTATCATAAACCAAGATATTTAAAACCTGCTGGGTAGTCCATTAGCCATCTCTGCTAAAAGACATTCAGCCTCTTTATATTTCTAATAATAGTCAGCTGTAGTATTTGTTCGATTTACATGGGAGATGTTATATTTGGCTTCCTGTATTTTTATGGCATTTCACACTGCATGTAAAAAAGGATATAAAAATTTCATATTCTTTCTTTAAGTATTGAGAACATCATAGTATTCCGACTATAACACACAGACCAAATTGCTTTCTCTCTGTAGCATTTTTGTGACTGCATTATTAGATTACCTCCCTGGCCCGTGATTCCCTGGGTGCTGCTATACACAGTCCTTGTGGAAAAGCAGCTATGAGTGCCTGAACATGCTTCCACACCGTAGTTCCACTATGAGACGGGTCAGACCCGTACGGTTTGGGGCATGGCAAGCCAACTGCAGCCCAGCAGCCGCCTGACATGCAAGAACTCTCCTGAGCCTTCTGCCCACATGGGGCTGCAGAAATATCTTCTGCTGGAGGAGAAGTCCAAGTCGTTGTTGTGTGCCTGTCAGCTCATGAGAGACAGCTGCTGGACAGCAGCGGGGTCTTGATCCGTTTCTTCCCATGTTTCTGTTAGGAGGTCTTGTTAGACACTATTGTGCAGCGCTTGAATCATGCGGAAAAGGCGGGGTGACAGAAAACAAGCCACAAGCATCTCTCCCAGTTTCATCCCATTTCATGCTGTCTACAGCATTCTAAGTGCACTAGTTAGGGGGGCCTTCATTCATTCATTACGTTCATATACCACCCAACTGGCAAATGCCCTCAAGGTGGTTTACAAATAAACAAAACAGAAAAACAACAATCAAATAGCCAAACAGACAAAATAAAAATACAACAATAAAAATTTATATTTATTTATATTGTGATTTATATCCTGCCTTTTTCCTACAAAGGGCTCAAGGCAGCTTACATCATCTCTCCTCCTCTCATCTCATCCCCACAACAACCACCCTGTGAGGTAGGTTGGGCTGAGAGTCTGTGACTGGCCCAAAGTCACCCAGTTGGCTCCATGGCTGAGCGGGGACTAGAACCCAGATCCTCTGAGTCCCAGTCCCATGCTCTTCGATTTATATGCTATTGCTGTGGCTTTTGATAGTAAAGCTACCACTTCCTTTCTCTTGTTCCAGTGAATTCTCTGATGTGTGGTCAAGGTAGCCTGGGAACTGACGCTCCTCCCACATCCATTGAAGATGTATAGAGCATGTCCTAAGTGGGTTCGCACGTGTCTTGCAACCTGGAGATGGAAACAGATCTCTTGCCACAGCCCTTCCTCATTGGTACATATTCTGGGTTGGTAAGTGGCTGAAGCATTTCCCATGCTCATTTGCAGAGGTATGATTTCTCTCCCTTGTGAGTTCTCTGGTGTTTACTGAGATCGGAGCTGTAGCGGAAACGTCTCCCACATTCGGAGCAGCTGTAGGGCTTCTCTCCTGTGTGAATTCGCAAATGTTTATTGAGATCTGAATTCTGCTGGAACTGCTTCCCACAGCTGGGGCAGCCATAGCCTCCAGTTGCCTCTCCAGTGTGGACTCTCTTGTGAGCGATGAGGCCCCGATGCTGGCTGAAACTTTCTCTGCACTTGGAGCACACATAGGGCATCTCCCCCGTGTGGGTCCTTTGGTGGATGAGGAGGTGTGAGCGCTGGGCAAAGCACTTCCCACACTCCTGGCATCGATGGGACCTCTCTTCTGAGTGAATTCTCTGGTGTTTCAGAAGGTTTGAGCTCTGCCAGAAGCATTTCCCACACTGGGGACAGGGGTAGGGCTTCTCTCCTGTGTAGATTCTCCGGTGGATGGTGAGGCTTGAACTCTGAGTGAAGCGCTTCCCATAATCAGTGCACTGGTGGGGACTCTGTGCCAAGTGGCCCTTCTGGCATGAGACAAAGGTGGGGGTCCGACGGGCCTTTTTCCCGCTGTCGGTACTTTGCAGGCTCCCATCTCCTTGTTGGGTTCTTAGTGGGCTGCACAATCTGTTCCCTGCCCCATGACTAGCTCTCTTTTCCACAGAAGCACCAGCAGCCCTGCAGTGGCCTAGTGGGCTCACTTCTCTGCCACCCTCCAGCTTGGCTGGCTTCTGTCCCACATCGACTGAAACGCGTCGTGCCTTGGAGGGACCGACTGCTCCATCTTCAAAGAAACTTGGCCCCTGGCGTGGCCTCCGTCCTCTGGGCCCTCGCTGTTTGAGCAGCAAACCCTCCACCAGGGCCACCGCCTGGGCACAGGTCTCCGGCTCGTCTTCCCTGATGCAGCTCTGTATCTCCTGGGGCAGGACGGTCAGAAACTGCTCCAGAATCACCAGCTCCATGATCTCGTCCTTGGTATGACTCTCCGGCTTCAGTCAGTGATGGCAGAGCTCCCGAAGCTGCCTGCAAACCTCGCGGGGCCCCTTGGCTTCCTCAAAGCGGAACATCTGGAAGTGCTGCTGCTGCACCTCCGGCCTCTCCAGAAGGGCAACCTTGATCTTCCTGGAAGGGCCTTTGCTGCCTCTGGCGCTCAGGTTGCCACGGGCCCACTTGGCTACTCCGCAGAGGCCTAGCGGCGCCCCGGTCACTCCGCCTCCTCTGCTGGGGCGGTGGTGGTGGCAGTGGGCGCGGACTGGGGACTGCTGAAAGCGACCAAGAGGAGGCTTGATCAGTAAGGATCCGTAAGGATAGTGGAGCTCCATCGCTTTCCTGGGATGTGCTCCCTGCAGCAGCAAAGCCTCCAGCCCAGAGTCAGAATTTAGTTTTTTGATAGCCCCCATCAGAAGCAATCGTGTAACTGAGACCATGAGGGAGCGCCTTCTACCTTGACTTCCCTGTGTTGGCCATGAAGGTCTGAAGAGACTCCCTAAGGAAGGAGACAGAGACAGGGAAGAGGGAACTGGCTACCTGGGGGCCCAGAAGAGCCTCAGGGGCCTACACTGGGGCCCAAGCTGGAGGATCTGCACCCCGGCTTAGAACCAGGGAGCCTTTACCTGCCAACACCACCCCACAGATATAGGGTAAATGTTAAAGCAGTGAATGTAGCCATTTCATTTGGCCAGACGTCTTCTCACCCCGGGTTCCCTGTGCTTGCTTTTACAGCTTTCCTGAAATGTGTGAGTGTGTGCATAAAACACCATGCAGCATTGCAAATGGACTCTGTGAAACCACAGAAAAATTGGTTACAGGAAAATTCTTGCTACAGGCCAGGATAACAACCCCATCCTTTTTTTCCTGTAAGGCATGGATTTGTTCATGTTTTGTTTATGCATTTTTGGCTTTTATGGATCATCGTATCTGAGCACTCATTATTGACACTAGCAATCAGATTTTAAGTGCAGCTAAGTACACCATCTGGCTTGTCTTTCTTGTCTACTCCTTTGTAGACATACATGGAGATCTGCTAATCTAAGAGTGTCTGCAGCTCATTATAGCTGCACCAGTTGCACAGCAATCAGCTTCATATGCATTTCCCTCATGAACCCTGATTTTCAGTGTTTAACAACTTGTGCAAAATTGCATCAGACTAAAGCACAGAATACAGATTTTTTCCCCCAGACTCCCCTCTGCCACACGGACACATTTTCTCCCTTAAGAATTACAGAACTTAGCAGGATTTAATTGTTTCATTTACAATTTTTACACCAATAACTCCGTGCAATAGTTGGATTCAGTTCAGACATCATGCCAAACTATGGCTAGAGAAGCTCAGCGACATGTCCTCTAACACATTTCATACTGCTAAATCACATCTTAATTGACAAATCGTCATTTGCAATGGCAACCTAGAAACAACAACTATAGTTTGAGTTGGTTATGTCAACTATAGTTTCTGCCAGCTGTGGTTTGGTGCAATCTCTGGGCTGTTACACCATGGTTATAGCAACCACTCTGTCTTTGTAGATTGCTGAACCATGATACAGGAATGGCCTTACAAAGCTGAGTGCTGGTGCATGGAAAATGAAGGTTGACAAGCTACTCCAAGGCTTCATTTTGGTGCACACTTGCCTGGGAGCAAGACTCTCTGAGCGCACTGGGACTCACTTTGGAGTAACAGTGCCTTGGTTTACACAGCATGGCATATCACCCCAAGATTTCGAGTTACGGTTAATGCAAACCATGGTTTGGCATAATGTTGGGACTGAGGCTATATGCTTTACTACATGTCCAGAAATTAGTGTGTATGAAAGCCATGTGGAATGTTTATTAAAAATGAACGAAGGAGGGGAGAGATTCATATTTCACCCATAGGGGACTTTAGTTACAAGGGCTGCCACATTTTGATTTTTCAAATACCTGATCCCTCGATGGCTTGATGGCTTTTACATGTGCATTTTGCTGAAATACCCCTAATATGTTTTGCTGTTCTAGAAAAGTTTCATGGCAGTTTTTCTTTCTATAACTTTTGGTGGTAGAATAAAATCTTTATGCTTTCACTTAAACATTGTTTAAGGAGCTCATCTGTTTGTACTCTTGAGCTAACCGCCTCCCTGTGATTCAACAGTATGAATAATCCATCTTGGGGATATCACACCCTCACCAAAGATTCTTACATTTCATGTGATCTGTATGCACATGCATACATGCGTGATTGCATGTGCATGTGAGCAAAAGCAGAGACAGCAGTCCAGCTAACAGACCTGAGTACCATGTGGCAGAAAGGCAGGATGCCAGTTAGGGGCATGTTGTAAAACTAAAAGTAAATCTTCAGTCTATCTTGAAGAAGGTTTACAAATTCTTTGGGAAGAAGAAATAGTTTTCAAGAATGTGCATAACTAGTAAAAATGTCATTGTCTACATTTGTCACATACACCAAATAAGCTGGAGATACAAATGAAGAGAAGCATATGTGAGCTGATAAATACTCCCGTGTTTATATATAAGCACATCCCAAAAGGCATGCCACACTCCTTCTTCACTCTGTGGCCTCACATGATTTCCTTGGCTATTTGGGAACTGCACCATCATGAGTCACTCTCCACTGGACGTCTTTTCCACTGGGAGACAGTATTGAGTGTCAGCTCTGCAGAAATTGTGAGCTCATTTAGGGTTACAAAGAGGTGCAGGAGCTAATATTTCCACGTTCAGGAGGAAGGATGACTCAGGGTGTTCTTTGAGTCTTTGGAAGAAATTGTCATGCCTGGAAAATTGCTTAGATGCTGATTAGAAATGTGCCTGGCTTTTCTTCTGGATGAGTCGATAGAGTTGCTTAGGGATAACTGCCCAGAAACATTGACTTGCTTCAAGCACATCATATTATCAAGCACACTGTCCTCACCCTGATTTGCAATTCCCTTTCCTTTATCTTCAGATTCTGAGATCCTGTGTCAAAGGTTTGCCTTCTCGTCAGCTGACATGCCTTCTATGACTTATTTCTATATAGGACACATTCCTATATAGCAATGTGCTTTCTCCCCAAGTCATTTCACACTGATTTTTCAATGTATTTGTTCCTCTTTGGTGGGAGTGAATCTGTGAGCCTTCATTAGGTCATGAACAGGTTCTATCACCGTTTTCCCTGACCTGGTGCCTTCCAGATGTCTTGTACTGTATGTCCCATCATCCCTGATCACTGGCAACATTAGCTGGAGCTGATGGAAGCCCCCAAACCACTGAGGCTGGGGCTGATGGAAGCCCCCAAACCACTGAGAGGTCATCACGCTGGGGAAGGCGATTCCAAGGCAGGACAGAATCTTTTCTTTTTTTCAGGGTACCTTCGGCCATCATTTGCACAGGCAACCCTTTTTTCATATCTAAGGATCCTTGCCTGAGGGTGCAATTCCATGGCCGCCCATCATTGTCTGGAGGGAGCATAGGGCATCCGGAGTTCAGAGCTCAGAGCTGGGTGGCCAAACCCCTGTCCGGTCGCAACTGGTGCAGAAAGAATCATACTGGCTGCCTCTCCGAGAGTGGAAATTGGCGTAGGAGGGGGAGAAAGGGGATGTGGGGGGCAGGGAGGGGAGGAAGCTCCCTAAGCCGATTCCCTCTCCCTGCTGCTTTACTTGGACTGTTGAAAGCATCCATCAAGATAATACACACGGGGCATGAAGCGTGGGTGGCAGTGATTGCCGATACGGTGCCTTACTCCGGCCGTTGAATGCACATAAACCTCAGAGTTGGGACGCTTATGTGCATTAAAGGTGGGGGCAATAGGATTGACCCCTAAGTGTCGTTCTCTCTATTTCATATCTAAAAGCTCTTCTTCCCTTGCTATATCCCATTTTACTCTACAAAAGAGTGTCCTACATTCCACCAAGGTGTCTGGAGTCAAGCATGCTGAGAGAAGTGAAAGCCCTGGAAAAAGTAGAAAAATGTGGGGAGGCAATCATTTTCCTCAAGAAACATTTTTGTTTTTTCCACAATGAAAAAATGAACAAATTAAAGGGTGGTTATTAAATATTTTATTTCAGAATTTAGGACAAGGGTTTATGTATTGTTACCCAGCCTTTACTTCTTATAAACCATTTCTAAAAATGATACAATAAGAAGGCATTTATAGAAAGAACTGTAAAATGTCTGGAAATCAAGAAGCCAAGGGGGTTTTTTTGGCCCTCACCATAAGATTCTCAGCATATCTATTCTTCCCTTTTTTTTTTTTTTTAAATCACTGATACAATTGATGGATAGCTTTTATTGATGGACATTTGAGTATACGCCAAGTCATGCCAAGGTTGAACGGAGTTACCACATCATAATATGAAAGAATATTTACATTCTTGACAGTTTGATTTTGCTCTAGAATCTTGCATTGCAGTGCTTGTTCTGATTAGATCCTGTAACAGTCAATTAATGTGGTTCTAATTTAAAACTCTCGTGTGAAAAAAGCACTGTAGCTTATCTTGCTTCTGTCACCAGATGTGATGGAACAACCTATGGTTTATTCTATCTATCTTTCATTCCATCTTTCTTTTTAATTAACTTTGGGTCTATAGAACTCACTGCCACAGTTTTCAATAAAGTGCTCCATTAGACTTCACCACTAGGTAGTGCTGCCTCAGCTACAAGGGCTTTTAATTGCTGCCCCTAGAATAAACTTCCTCTGCTTAAAACACGCTCAGTATGCTCAGTACACAAAATCAGATGTTCATGGTTGGAAATTGTTTTCCGAAAGTGAATACAAGTCACTCTTAAAATAATAGGTTGAGATTGGTTCTTGAGTATGGCTGCTTAAGTAGAGTGTGGTCATTATGTAGATTCTTTCCTAGCTAAATAAAATCTCAATAGCTTCTTCTTTAGATCAGATTGCTCTAAAACCTACCCAACAAACAGGAATGGGTTTAGGAACTGCCCTAAAGTTCATTACAACAAATGCTATATACCAGCCTTCCCTCACCTTCTGTTC